AACTAGAGCACGAAGTGACATATTGTTTGTCACTTCAAACGTTAAGGTGATGAGTGATATCTCATCACCAGGTGCAGAGACACACAGTTATTGAGTATCCAAAGTAACTTTCGTCAAGATATTTGCAAATTCTCTTGAGGTTGTTGGATCAGTAGGGCGCTCCACCCCCACTGACCCTGACCTTTTTTTGATGGTCCTCTTTGCTGTTGCAGTTACGCAACAGCGTTGGACCTACACTCATTGCCCTTTTAGCAAATAGACGATCAGTTCGCTCAGTACTATTTGGTACTGGAAGTGGGGCACTACACTCATAAGCGTAGTGCTATAACTTCTGACAGTAACTGCACTTCTGCAATCGCCTGTTATGTGAATAGCGAGGTATCTCGCTCTCAATATTGAAGGTCCATTGGTTCTGGACCTCCTCTTTCCTGTCGTCTTGCTGTACGATAGGTAGTCGAATGAGTTTGAGCCTATCTCAAAGTACATGCTACCTGTTCCGCTACTGAGTTCGCTTGATCTAGTGTCTTCAGTTCCAAACGGAACAGGTTGGTCTTGACGAGTCCATCAAGTAGACCCCGGATGAACACAGTGATTTCCCTGTAATTATCGATCGGGCTGGCAGTCGTGCAACTCGAGAGGTATCGGATGTGCTGCGAGTAATCATTTACATCCTGTTTGCCGTATCGGAGACTTAAAAACTCAGCACGAGCTTGGAATTCGGCTCGTGGCGGCTCATAAGTTTGTCTGAGCCGGGACTTAAAGATTTCCAACGATTTAAATGAAAATGGGTCGTGGATCTTGAGACCTAAGTCCCAAGCCTTCGCACGTTTAGCCAAGTGAACTGGGCGAATGAAACTTGCATTCGGTCGCCGATGATGCGACGAGCCCTTATGGCATCTTACAATTCGACAAACCATCTCAATAGGGAGTTTTCCTCGACTCCCCCGTACTTAGAGATGTCAATCATCAGGGTTTCGGGACGACGCGTGTGTGTCGTCCCACCTACAGCAGCATTATATTGCTGCTTTCTCAACCTTTCGGCCTGTTAAGAGCATGTTGATGAACTAAGGCTACTATCTCTCTTTCTGGTGACAAGTTCATTTTAAATGAACCTAGCTATAGCGGCATGTTGTTGGTCTCTGTCAAGAGACTCCAACATGGCGCTAACGGTGGTTCCGCCGACGGTAGAACTCATTCGTTCTACCGCACTCCATTTGATGTCACTAAAATGATTAAAGCCTGCACGCGTGGCGTGGAAGCTTTCCTCCTGATCCAACACGTTCATGTTGAATGATATGGTTGTGGTCGTTGGACGGACTACAAAGTGCTACCAGGTGTATTGGGGCACGCTCTTACCATATAACTGGTAAGACCTTGTGATAATATAATACAAGTCTGCGTGCTCCCGACGTCACGTGCACGTAGCGTGAGGAAGCGCGAGGAAGTGAACAGAGCTCGGAAGCTCTGTTTAAGCGGAAAAGTAGAACTGTATTTCATATAGTTATGTTTCTTAATAACCATCTTTGTTTTGAGCTAACTATATTGAACTACAATATCCTATGTGGGTTTCTTGCTCACCACCCATTGCGCGCGTCCAGCAGCGATTGATGGTTAAATTAGTTGATGTACACGTACATCAACCAATAAGTGAAGCACCCACGAATATCACCCTCGGGGATATGTTGATTGATTATTATCGAAATAGATAATATTCAAAAATTGATACATTCGTATCAATTTTATGGAACGGGCTCACCCCGTTGCACTGATCTCCAGAGCATATGCCCCATTTGCCGCAGACGCTTTGTCTTCGGCTTCGTACAAGTCATTTAAGCAAAACGTGCGTGTCGACGAACCTGCGCCGAACAAGTTTGAGACCTATTTGTATTGCCGGTGATGCTAACATGTCGGTCGTGGTAGTCCATCATCGAACCATCCATGGTCAAGCACGGCATGACGCTTTGTAGCTATCGAGCACATTTGGGCGAGGACCAACGGGTGTCGACCGCTCAAAAGCACTATGGCGTTGGCTCTGGCTCCAAGTCAAGTTGTAATACTCGAGAGGACTTTGTAGGCAGAACACTGGAGCAGCGACGTTGCGGTGCTAAGCTATTGCTTTACCTCCAATGATGTATTCGTGGCGCTCCGTGACGTACGCCTGAGAGAGACTTCAAGATCACACTAAGACTTCGTCAGAGTCGGAGTGAGCAACTGCTTGCTTAGATTCGCGCAGCTTCTTGGTACCCCACCGATCCAATCGCCCCCCTTACGCTGTGTCTTTGACCCACTGATCCAGGCCCAAATCGTTCCAGCGAGTCACTTTTCCGTCAGCAGTCCACATCGGAGGCTCATCTGAGTCCGACAGACAGCAAACGCACATGGCAAGTGAGGGAGGTTGAGATACAGGCATCGTCACGAAATTACCAGGTCGTGACGACTGACTCACCGGACGGACTATCACTGCCATTCTCTGGGTCAAGCTCGAGCGAGGAAGGAGGCACATCCATATCTGCACGTCCAGTCAACAATGAGACACAAAAGACGATAACTGCGTCGCCAATTTGCCAACACAGACACGCTACCATCGTCCGACAGCGCGTCCATGATCCAGTCGTCGTCCACGATGTCCAAGTAGTGCTTCTTTAGCAGGTATACAGTCGGCAGTTTACTGTCCTGCACGCATAAAGACACACACACACACCACATCATCCTTGTCATCCGTCCCATCCCATTCCGTTCTCTCTTTCCTCCTCCCTCCATCCCGTTCTCTCTCCACATTCGATCACAACACTCTGTTCCTGCGGCCGCCCAGTTGCTGGACGAGCCCGTACGAACCATTTGTCGTCGTACTTTGCGTAATGGATCCGTTGGTGGCGTCCTATTGTCAGTTAACAACAGAGCACTTGTCACGCACACGCCGTTCCATATCTACAGCAGCAGGAGGAGGGGGTTCAGGATCATCTGTTTACAACGTCTAAGGAGTGCAAAATGCCTGAAAAGTATATCTGTAGCAGGAGTGGTGGTGGTGGTGTCAAGTACGTCCATTATTATGATAACTAACGACTGATAAGTGTGACAAGAAGTACGGCCCGGGTATCGGGTCGACAACTAAAGGGCTCCGTAGAGCCAGGGGCGACGGCAACGAGGTCAGAGACACTCCTACCGAAGCCAACTACGAGTCTATCATGACCGCTGGCGCGACCAAGTAGACTGGGGACATGCGTACCGCCGGAGCGGCAGCACGTACAACGCGGGTATGCTGCCATATAAGGCAACAAACCCCTTTAGGACCGCTTGCGTGGCCCCCGACGTGGAGTGCGATCACCGAAGTGACTGCGTGGCGTGGAGAACGCCAACCCGCCGTATATCTCTCCGAGGAGCTCAACCATCTGCGATGGTGGCCCCCTACAGCCGCTTGCGCGGCCCCCGACGTGGAGTGCGATCACCGAAGTGACTGCGTGGCGTGGAGAGCGCCAACCCGCCATATCTCTCTCCGAGGAGCTCAACCATCTGCGATGGTGGCCCCCTTCAGCCGCTTGCGCGGCCCCTTGACATGGAGTGTGCGCTCGCCGCAGCGGCGACACGTGGCGCGGGGTACGCCTCCAGTCCGTAAAACACCCCTGCTAGGGCCGCTTGCGCGACCCGTCGGTCTCCTACGCCCACACCCGCGACTGCGAGTGCAGCGTGCCCGCGTCAGATCTTCGACCACGTCGGCTCCCCAAGGGGAGGATTCCCTCCGACGTGACTGCCCCGAAGGGAAAAAGACTGGCTTGAGCTGAACCGTGAAAATTTGGGAATATCTGTAGCAGGAGTCTCAGAACGTTCTTCGAACAAGACCGACGACAGAGATGGACAGTCAGGACAGCACGTGCGACACGACTCGACCAGTTGACAAGCGATCCCTTGACGTCGTCATGGCGACAGACAATAGCCGATCGTTTCTCGGACTGTTGTTCGTAGCACTACGCAAGACGTACGCTCTATGTCGTGGAGCCCAAGCAAGAGCTTGAGCTGGACATGAGGCCGTCAAGTTGAGAAATAGTTGACGAATCTGACAAGCGTTCGCCCGGAATGAGTTCAATCGATTGCTACTCGAATCGCTCATGCGCCAGGCGTTCCACTTCCGAGCTTTACCATTCTGTTCACGTGTCACCGAAAGATACGTCCAGGCTCACGCACGCTGACACTCTGCTTGGTAAGTGCACACGTTGGGCATCTACGACGGGCGGTCACAAGAAGACATCAACGACACGCTTGACAAGGTGGTGTCTGAAACATGTCTGACAGACTGCTGCACCTGCTTGTCGACACCTCTGCTGACGGCTTCTTCCGCTTCCAACATCGTCTTCGTCATCACCCGTCGAAGCGGAACTCGTCACGTTTGAATGATACCACGCGCGTTGTCCAGTGCACCGACACTTGACTGTCGACACCTTCACACCATCAAAAGCCTGGCCCGAGCACTGCCGACAAAACATACAGGTCTCGACGCGTCTTCGCTGCATCTTCACGTCACGCAGCAGGCAGTACTTGCTCGTTGTCACGCGGTACACTGCCGTCTTGCCGGATCTCACAAGCGACAAGTCGTGGCTCGACCACGTTGCATGGCGCGACCCAGAGGTGAGCTGCAAGAACTCCTGCTGGTCTCAATGAGAACCTGTTGCAGCAGTCGACCTCGAGCACTAATCCGTTCTTCACCGCGTCGATTTCGCCAGTCCGTGTCAATGCCTCGACGCCCACATCTACAGCATTGGCACAGCAGCGAGATACCACACAGTCGAGACAACAACATCAACAACAGTTCCACACTTTCAGTTCAGGTCCATTGACGGGCCTGAACTCAGCGTGAAGAACTATGCAGTGACGAGGCCAATCTCGCGTGCCCGTCATGACAGCGTGAAGTCGACCCGTCAAGCAACACGCACTCGATGCTGGTAGAGACGGCTGACTCGCTCTATTCGCGTTAAATACTTTGTACACACTCGTCTTTTCGAGCGGTGTCACACGACAACAGCGATTTCCTTGTAGTCTGTCAAAGGCGTGCCCGGGGTCTTGGCGTTCTCGTCAAAGTCAATGCCGTCAACCCAGAAGGCCCCAGTAGCACTGGCGGGTGCACTGGCACTAGGCCGATGGGCTGCCTCAGGGGTCTCAAAGTCCATGCAGTCGCTCACGAGGTAGCGGATCTTGCGGTCGTAATGGTGCACCATGTGGTCCTGCAAGGCACGGGGCGTGACCCAAATGCGGCGGAAGTAGCTCGCGTCGCGGAGCGTGTACTGCAGCTTCTGCTCGCCGAGAAAGACAGTGCAGCCACAACGACGCGCCATCTTCACGGTCTGAATGTGGACAATCTCACCGGGCACGTCCACTTCTTGCGTCGAGTCTTCCTGTGGAAGCGTGATCATCGTCGAGTTGCTGAGCTCGCGAGACGGCCGACTAATGACGTTGAGGGCTGAAGAGCCAAAGTCCGTCGGCCCGCGCAAGCTGTTGATCTGATACGGACACGTGCTGGCCAGAGACCTTGAGCTTGTGTCCACTGCTGTGTCGCCGGTGTTCGTAGGAGGCGCGTTTTCCAGCACTGTAGGAAGGCTGCCCACGACTCGACAAGTGCTCGCCTCTGGACCCACAGCGGCCACGGGCTGCTGCCGTTCTTCCGTTAACTCTTTCAGCTTCCCGCGAGCGCCGTACTTGACCTTGAACAGCGGTTCATCCGCCACGGCATCATAGTGAGTCGCCATCTCATCGCGCAACTGCGTCATGTTCGAGATAGACAGTCGTGGCACAATGTCGTCGCCGTACACCACAGTCGTCGCAAACGCCTTCGTCCACGCTGCTGTGTCAGGGTCGAACAACGGCGGCGTTGCGTACAAAAAGGCTCGCGTCTTGGGGAAGATCTTGCGCAGTAAGATGGCGAGGATGCAGCCGACGCCCGCACCCATCGAGTGTCCACAGACCACAATCTTCCACCCCTTTTCCTCGTCGGCCGTCGAGCCACTGACGGAGCAGTTGGCCGTTGCAAAGTCCCAGAACACGACCTTCCGCGTGCCTTCCTGCAGGTCCTTGAATATCTGCCGTGCTGTTCGGAGCATGCCCATGTGCGTCCGAGTGTCGAATGCGTACGGAATGTCATCCGGCAGTTCGCTGGGCTCCATCTGCACGATCTGCGCCAATCCGTCCGTCACAAAGTCATAGAACGACATACTGCCACGCACGCTGATGATGAGCTCCTTGCGTTCCTTGTCCCTGACAATGCTGTACGGCGCCTGGAACACAAAGTTCCGACAATTGAGGTACACTAGATCCGCGTCCTTGACGCCAGTGTAGTGGATGAAGCTCGAGCGGTTGCCATGTACGAAGTTGTCGTGCTCAAAGACCTGGTCGTCTAGGGGTTTCTTGAAGCACCCGAAGATCCGAAACCAGTAGCACGGCGAGTACCACACGTAGATGGGCCAGCCGTAGATGCCGATCGCCAATCGACAGTAGAATGCCACCTCTCCCAGCCGCTTCTCTTCTTCATCCGCGGCAAAGTGCTGCACAGTCGGAATGCCCTGCGCTGCCAGCTCAGCCCTCTCTTTCGTCTCGCACTCGCGCTCCTTCTCTTGCACTTTCGACACAAGGTCGAGGCTGAACATCAAGTCAGTGAAGCTCAAGCCTTCGTACCGGTTCGTCTTGTACCGCACGACAAAGAACTTGCCCAGCATGCGGCCAAGCGACTCAAACACGTCCACGTCTCCTGCGTGCTCCACGGTCTTGTGGCACGTGAACGCATGGAAGCAGCACAGACAGCGGTTCTGCCAGCGCGTCTCGGCCTCAGCCACGTCGTCGCCACTGTGCACGCCACACATGTACGACGTGCACGTGCCGGCAGCAATGACAGCGAGCGTAAACACAAAGTCAAAGTGCTGGCAGTGGCCGATCGCGTCGGCGCGGTCTTGGACTTGCTCCCAGTTCGTGTCTCCACACGCGCTCGTGTCGGTGCGAAACCCAGCTTCGCCGTACGCTGCCCAGCCCGCGTTCGCCCCGTACCCCAAGAAGATCAACAGAATGAGCCAGCCCTGCACCCACACACACACAAAGAGACAGAGAAGAGAGAGAGAGAATAAAGAGAGAGAGGCAGGGGAGAGGAACAGAGGGGTCAGACTCGCAGCAATACTATAGAACTGCACCAGCACTGGCAGCACCAGCAGTAGTAGTAGTGGTAGTGGTTGTCGTGGCGCACCTCGGGTCGTCGTTCGTGGTACACGCGCGTGGAGAGCGTGTAGACGACGGCCGTGACCATGAGCGCGGCCAGCACGAGGTGGTGGAAGAAGGCGACGTAGAGCCAGTGAAAGAGCTCGTCGAGGCGCGCGCACGGGCCGTCGTCGCCTCTGTCGGGCGCGTCGATCAGTCCGTACGCGAGCAGCAGCGGCAGGTGGTGGCACAGCACGAGCGCTACGAACGGCGTGAGGTACGCGCGCGGGTTGAGCACAACGCGCTTGAGACTCGGCGCACTGGCGCCGCAGCACGTGGCGCGGGCAGTGGCTGTGCCTTCGATCGTTTCCATTTGCACGAGTGTGTCGGGGGCAGCAGCAGCAGCGGCGGCAGCGGCGGTAGCCATTGCGAATGAGGCGGCGGCGGCGGCGGAAGAGGCGGATGATGGGCGCCGGCGCTTTTGAGGACTGAAGTTGATGCTGACGCGGATGACGTTCGATTATTCCTATTGCTGGAATTGGTCGGATGACTGGAGTTGTGGGTGTTGTTGTGGGTGTTGTTGTGGTTTGGTAGTATTCTTATTGTGGTGTTGTGGAGGCGGACGTGTGTGTGTGTGTGTGTGTGGATGGAAGCGCGCGACGTGACGCGGAGGTGGTGAGGGGTTGTGGACCTCTGACGTGGAATACATTCGGCGTCTGATTACGGTCCGAGCGGTGGGACCATACTGGAGTGTGTTTCGAGCGGGTGGGCGGGTGGAGACCACGACTGGGGTGTGGAGACGGGGCGATGTCGTTCGACCAGGCGGGCTGTGTTCGGTTATGACTTTTCGGGGGGGGGATTGTCGAACGACGTGGTCGAGGAGCTCGTTTAGATCCACCACTGTAGTGCTCCAGGGCTGCAGCTTTATTTCTAGCCAGTATGGGCAGTAAGTAGGGAGTGGGGGGGGGGGCTTGTGGACACGGACGGCGCTCTGTCGACACACGCTGTTGAACACATTAGTTAACGCTGCTATTGTTTTGGCGGAAGAGCAGACTGATGGAGTCGGATCAATGGATAGAGATAAATCTGTTTCTATTCGATGTGTTGTGTGCAGTATCCAGGACGCAGTCGATGATACGTTGCCGTATCTGGTGAACTATCTGCCGGGATGGAGACGCGCTTGAACCTCAAGGCGAGGGTGGAAGGGGCACTGATACGATGCGACTGCCAAGCTGCAAGTCACTCTGAGAACTCGGAAGCAGCTTAGAGACTTTCTTGCGGTTCATCGAGCAGGAAGAAGGCGCCATGTAGGCCGATAAAGCTTCTTCGTCACGGTGACCCTTTGTGCGGCGGGGGTGACAGCTGCACTTGCTACACCATGTCACTCGCCGCACTCTGCCTGTTGAACGTGCTGTATCTCGTCGTTGCGCAGCTTCGGGTGAGCGCTCTCCTCCTCTTACGTGAGACCAAGCAGCTCCGAGTTCGACATTGGATTTCGAACACACAGCTGTTCACGCGTAGCTCCCAGCTCTTGCTCCAGCTAGTTCTCGACCTCGTTATTCCCGTTCAAGCCATCTTTGTTTGTCCATATCTACATAGCCGCCCGGAGAGATGGGAGGACAAGCATCAGGGTTGTGCAGTCGAAGCAATGGACAATGGTCGCGGTCGATACTTCGGTCCAGGCAGCTACGGGCCAGTGCATGGAATCAAGTCGGTTGGCCTTGTCGACATTGCCGACCTTCAGGCCTGTCACAATCGATCGCATGCGGCAAATGACAGCGGCAGTAGAATCGCCCATAGCCGCGAAGACACCTTCATCGATCGGTTAAATCTTGGTCCTCGTATCCACCGAAAGAGGCTGAACTCGGTATTGACGAGCTTCAGGTCGGTCCTTTGCGATGCATACACATCAAAGCAGAGCCATTATGACGATGCGAATGTCAAGTCACTGCATGGCCAGAGCTGTAACAAAGACTTGCTTTAAATGGGGAAAGCTGGAGACGTTTCCTGCGCTTTCGAACACGTGCTCAACCTACGCATGCGTCTGAATGTCAAGTAACTCGTCATCCGCCTGATGGTCAGCCGTAACTCCGGAGCTGGTTTCTTGTCGTGTTTTGGGCAAGTTTGGCATGTTCGAGTCGTGATGTTGCATTTGCTTTGCTACACTATGTCTTCCCTAGCAATTAGTTAAATCTAGCGAATGTATGGTCGCACAATAGCCAAAGAAGTTCTATTCTCGGCGAGGTCATCACAGCCTCCGTCCGCAAGCAGAACCCATGAGTCATCAGAGGAAGCAAAACCCATAATCCATCCGAGGAAGCACAGTAAACACCCGTAAACACAAACATAACACTTGGGGGTATTGCAATTCGGGTGACTCCGGCAGTGTTGAAGTAGCTCTGGACGGCTGTGAAGTAGGCGTCGCGTGGTCACTTGATCGCGTAAACATCTGTCCGAAGCATTGCACGACGAGCCACGCGAGCAGAAACATGCGGTGAGGAAGAAGAGGCGATCGAGTCAGACGACAGCCAGTCGACCGAGACGTCGCGTTTGTCATACATGTCTCAGTCGTCGACTCGCACGACCACACGACCGTACAAAACGTAGTTACAATGCGCCAGTCAGGAGAACTGCACTGCAAATTTGCTACTACAGTACAGTAGTCAAACGACCGAACTGTACGCACGCACGTCCGTCCAGCCGCGCCGTGTGGGCAAACCCCACCAACGACAACGTGACAAAATGGACACTTGTCCGACGCGTTACTAAAACCTCAACGGCTCTTCCTCTTGTCTGTACATCTCCGCTGTCGTCTCTCGCTGTCGTCTTCTGCACTTCTCTCCACGCTCCCTATTCATCGCACTTGTACGGTCTTCTAACCCTCATCTTGCGTCAATCTGTTGCACAACAGCGTCTCACCCGTCCTCTTCTTTCTTCGCGACCGACTCGAGGTACCCAGGACTCTCGTAGGTAAACCCCTTGAACGTGTCCGAGTCCCGTCGCGAGCGCGTGCCGCGACCGCTGTACGGACTGGTCGCGGCATTGTCTGCACTTGGCAGAGGCAGACGCGTGAACTCGGCCTCGAAATTCCGTGGAGCGTCGCCGTCGGTCATGGCCGAGTGACACGGCCGAAACGGAGGCGTGACCTGCTGCAGGGCCACTGTTGTCCAGTCGACGCCCTCGAAGAACAGGTGATTCTTGACGCACTGCGCGCCTTTTGAACCGAGACGCTCGGCCGGGTTTCGATTCAACAGCTGCCGAATGAGCGCTTCAGCTCGACGGGATATGTACGGCGGGAAATGCAGCCTCGCGGAGCGGAGCCGCTCAAAGAGCTTCTTGCGGTCGTTCGTGTACCACGGCGGCAGACCCGTGAGCATCTCGTACAGGACCATGCCCAAGTTCCACCAGTCTACTGCTGTGCCATGGCCAATGCGGTCGAGGATCTCGGGCGGAAGGTACTCGGGCGTTCCACATAGCGAGTTCGTGCCGTTCGCTCCTTCGCGAATGCCTTCTTTTGCAAGGCCAAAATCGGCCAACTTGATGTGTCCGTCCTTTGTGAGCAAGATGTTCTCGGGCTTGAGGTCGCGGTACACCACCCCGAGGCCGTGCAAGTGCTCGAGGGCCAGCGTGATCTCGGCTGCGTAAAAACATGCCATGTGCTCGGGAAGCTTTTTCATGCGAGACAAGTGGTAGAACAGCTCGCCGCCGGGGCAGTAGTCCAGCACAAAGTACAGGCGCCGAGCGGTCTGGAACGCGTAATGGAGCCCGACGATGAAAGGGTGTCGCGTGCAGCCAAGCACGCGGCGCTCGGTACGGGTGTGTTCCACCTGCTTGCGCTTCACAATGTTCTCCTTGGACAGGATCTTCATCGCGTACAGTGTGTTGGTCGCTCTGTGCTTCACAAGCACGACTTTGCCGAACGAGCCCCGACCAATGACTTGGATCATCTTGAAATCCTGAAGCGTGACGCTCTGTTTGCCAGTAGCTGATCCCCCGGATCCATCGTCTTCGTCGTCGGCAAGGGACGCGCCGTAGAACCGTGAGCGCTTCAGTGGCAACCTGTCTAGAAGCAGCGGTGGCTGGTCGGCTTTGCTGGTCAAGAACTTGCGCACCTCATCGACCAAATGAGGATTCTTTGCTGACTGGTCCACCCGGTCATAGTTCAGCAGACAATGCAGCCAATTCGACAGCTCGCTCTGCCGCTTTGCAATGAACTCTGGCTCGAATGAGCCCAACATCTTCTTGGGAGGCAACAACGGAACGCGCACTCCCATCGGGCGCAATTGGTCATTCAGCTCCTTGAACTGCTGATACCGGCGGTAGATGACCCACGTTGCACCTGACTGCACACAGCGCATCTCAATCGCATACACGGTATACAGTCGATCCGATACATCGTACGCGAACCCGTGGCTGCCAATCTTGACAAGTTCCGCACGTGCACCGTAAGGGATCAAGTACAGCGCCTGTGCCCTCGAGTCTTCTTCTTCCCTCGCAATCATCTCGTGCTCGGCACAATACCCTGACACTCGCTGATGCACCTCCGTGCAGGCATCATACTTGCACGTCACAGATGGTCCAGTCAGTAGCTCGTCGCAAGGCGCATAGATCGCCAACATGTTTGAACTTCGAGCGCGCGTGAAGCCACCCCTCGTCTTCCTCTCGTCATCATGCGCCAACGAGTGGTCTTCGATCTCAATGTCCGCCGTCTCGTCGGCCGTATACACAGACAACAAGTACGACGACCGTGACTTTGCTGTTTGTGCCGGTCCTTGATCGTTTTCATCCCTACAGCAACAACAACCACAACAGCAACAAGAGAGCTCCATTAACCCACAACTCGTCTCTTTCTCCATCATCGCAAACCACGTCCACTCACTTGTGCTCGTGCTGAGCCGCAACTGCGTCAAGCGTAACGAGCGTAAACTGCTGGTCAATCTCCTCGACGCGGTAGCTCTCGCCCGTGTCCAGATCTTTCACCATATACGACGGGTTCTCCCACTCGGCAAACGCACCCGCGAGCGCTCGATCAGAACGACTGTCGTCCAACATCTCGTCGTCATCGTCTTCGTCGTCGTCCAACAGCGCGTCGTCGACCGCACACTCCTCTTCTTCGTGCAGCTGCTCCACGTACGGATTCAAACCTTCGACGGACAAGTGCTCAGCTTCGAGCTGCGCTTGCAACTCCACCATCGACCACTGCGACAGATCGTCACAGCTGTCGTCGTCACTTTCTGTACTTTGTAGAGGTACAGTGTCGACATTGGGTTCTCGACCGCTACACGCAGTAGTCCGGTGGCTCTCGAGGGCATTTCTAGGGCTGTGGTCCGCGTACCCGCTGGAGGGTACGTCCGTCGGTACCCCGCGCTTCGGATCCCCGAGCAGCGGCGACTGCGACACGCGGCCGTCATGTACACGAGACGCGCTACGTCGACGACCGGTCGACGCGCTCGCGAACATGGGCAGGAGGGAGCTGCAGGCGGTCGGTCATGCACGACCTTTCGGCTCAATGGGTACGCTGTGGCCTCGCGCGGGCGATTACGCGGTGGATGAATGGCTGGCGGTGATCAGAGACGGGGCAGAGGGGTACAGTCGGCTTTCGTCGACTGTGGTGTGAGTGTGTAGTGTGCGCACCTTATTTTCGGCCGACGCAGCGGCCACCAGTCAGAAACGTACCCGTTGGGGTACGCGTAGCACGACGACGGTATTGCTTCCGGGACCAGGACGACCGAGATGGCGACCGAGGCCAAGAAGCTCGACGTGTTCTCGACCACGAGTGACTACTCCAAGACCTATGCGATCCACGACGAAGACCATACACTGGGCAACGCGCTGCGCTACGTTCTGATGCGCAAGTAGGTGGAACCTGTGCACGATGGACGCGCTGTTGTGCCACAGCCGTCCGATGGCTACATGTCTGCTGGCCTTGTTGCTGACTGCTGGTTGGGCCCTCTTTGTTCGTGACGTCAGCCCGGACGTCGAATTTTGCGGCTACACGATCCCGCACCCGTCCGAGCCCAAGATGCACGTCCGTCTGCAGACCCGTCAAGGTACGTGAAGAATCCACATGAGGAGGAGGAAGAGGTAGAGGAGGAAGAGGGTTGCTGTCAGGCATCATGTGCACCGAGAACTGAAGAGCTCTTGTGATCTGGTGTTGGCACGGGTTGTCTGTTGTAGGTGCACCTGCGGACGAGGCGCTGCGTTCGGGTCTCACGGATCTGCGCATCGTGTCGAAACACATTGCAGAGGCCTATCGCAAGGAGCTGAAGGCGTTCAAGCGCAAGACCCGCAAGTCGTAGCCACTCGACCCATAAAGACGCACATCTTACCCCATTTTTGTACCTAAAAAGCCCCACTCATCGCTTCCTCCTCCGCGTCTGTCTATCCCTCTCTCTCTCGCTCTGCATGGATATTATCCACTGCAGTCTAGATATATCGATAACACCAGCGGTCTACTGTTACTTTACAATGTATGCTGCGTTCATTGGTCGAAAGTCGTTCACCGCAAATATCGCACGTCCTGCCCCCATCATGCAGCTGCTCCTGCGCCCGCTGGCCCGTGCGCCACTGCTCCAGCGCACTCTGTCGACCCGCGCGACGCCTACACTCCTCACGCAAACCGACCGCGTCGTCGCGCTGCAGCAGATCACGAGCGCGTGGGAACCCGTCCCCGACCGCGACGCTCTTCGCCGCCGCTTTGAGTTTCGCGATTTCAACGAGGCCTGGGGCTTTATGAGCCGCACGGCGCTGCTGGCCGAGCAGATGGGGCATCATCCCGAGTGGTGCAACGTCTACAACTGCGTGGACGTGACGCTCAGCACGCACGACTGCGGAGGTCTCTCGAAGAACGTGAGCGACGCATTGCCCGCGGGGCTGCGGTGATGATGGTGGGGATGTGGTGGGGCGACTTTGCTGCTGACTGATGCATGCGGATGTTTTGCGTGACGTTGTTGACGTAGGACGTTGACATGGCCCTTGCTATGAACAGCTACGCTGACGCGCTGAAGAGCTGCTGATTGAGCTGTTGATGGTGTATGGGGGGGGGCTACGGGCTGAAGACTGAGATAGTCGAGCGATCACACTGTGAGGGCGCAACATCACGTGAGCAGGGCGTTGCAGTCTTGTGAGGTTTGATACAGAGCGTTATACTTCCACGTGTGCTTGTTGCTACGACGGGAACAACCGTGTGGGCCTTTGTACCTTGTAGAGTCGTCGTCGCTAGTGCTCTCTCGCAGTCACTGGACCAAAGGAGTGTTCTGGTAACGAGGAGGCACTACGACGAACGATTGCTTACGTGCTGCCTGCTTCGATGTTCGTGGAGGACATGGACGTACTTTTCGGCTAATCCATCGTTCGGGTTCTTGGTAGTTGCAGAGTCATGCGGGTGCTATCTGCAACATTCGCACAAGTTGTTTGTGCGTCATGGTCGTCAAGCTGCTCTTTTGGGACACTTACATCGATCGACGTGTGGAGGCAGCTCTTATTGTCATGTTGAAGTACGCCAAGCAGATGTGAACGCACGGCAGTTTGCAAGCCGCCACGGGTGAATCCACTGAGATTGTAGATCGGCGCATAGTAAACGCTGCAATGGTGTGCGGTCACAAGAAAAGCGTTCGCAAACTTGACTAAACGTCACGGCCAAGGAGACATAAGTTGTCTTTGTACCACAGCGGCGGCTGCATCTTTCATGTCCGAAGGTCACACGTCGATCAAGTTGTGGTCTTTTGCTTTTAGCCACATCTACTGCACAAACAGTGACCACAACATAGCTGCAATGGAACCTGTGCATGCAATACAGGTGAGCAGCTTGAGATCGATACCGCGAAACCAGCTATCGAGCAGCTGTCGCGTGCAAGCGTCAGTGGAAGACAAAGGTTGTCGGATTGACCAGAGTGCTGCTGACAGGATACTCTGTGACACGCAATTGACTCTCTTCTTAAATCAACCGCTAGATACACCGCTCCTCCGGTTGTCCGTGTGCTACGACTTCTTCTTCTCCCGCAGGCCGAGCGGCCACGTCGCGCCACAGCTGCAAACGGCGCGTGCAATCATCTCGTTGCACTGCACTGCACTGCTCTGCTCTGTTCCCTTCTGTCACTTCATTTTCTTCATCTCCCGCGCCACTTCGTCCCGAAACGTCTGACTAAAGTCCCTCACCTTCGGCACGTACGTCTCGACCGAGTTCTTGAGCACGTCTGCGCCCGTGGCTGCCATTGTCTTGGCGTCCTCCAAGTGGTAGTGCGTCTTGAGCGCGACCCGCTGGAACGCGCGCGAGTTCGACAGCGTCTTGACCGCCACGTCGTTGATCACGTACGACAAGAGGCGCTGGATGAACGACATGGCCAGTGGTCGTGTGATCGGTCGACTTCGTATACTCAGACACGCAGAGAGAGAGACAGAGGCAGACGAGACAGAGGCAGAGAGACGCACTGTACTGATACCGACCGCAAAAGTTCGAGACTGATCTCTCGCGCTGTCGACGAGTTCGACGGCCGCTGTGGTCCACAGGAGGCAGACAGATCGCTGAGATCGAATACACTGTGAGACCTTATTCTCCTCAGACTGCAGTTCTCCGACCTGTCGAGTCGCAGTTCTCCGACCCGATTTCGGCCAATCGCGTCCTGAGCTGAGCCATTTCACCCGCTCGCCCACTCGCCGTCCGTCCTCTCCCAACACCCCACGTCCGTTCGCCACACACGGACGCACTCACAAAACGCGCCGCCGACCGCACCCATAGTGGAACTCAGTGAGTGCGTGAGATTCCGCACCCCGTCATGATGCTACCGAAGCTGCGCTCGTCCGCGGCCGTGCGCTGCTCGCAAGTCCTCCAGCGTACGTCCGTCTCCCGTAGCGCCTCTCGCCGACCAGTCGCCTGCACGCGATGCGCTCGTTTGCTGTTGTGTCGCCCGTACTTTGGCTCATGCAGCAGCAGTTTCAGTCGCTTCGACGCGGTGTATACTCGTTCGAGCGTGTATACACGCGTGTATACGCGCTCGTGTCATATTGGTTGATTGTCGATTGGGCGCTCATTCGGTGTGTGGGCGATGTTGTGTATTTTGTCCAATCAGGTCGCGCGGTGACGACGCTGCCCAAGGCCATCGCCGACACGTACGAGTCGCCGGACCAGTACTTTGACTCGGACCGCATCGATGCCGGCGACCCGTCGAAGCGCGCGTTCACGTACTTTATGCTCGGCGGCGCGCGTGTGGCGTACGCGACGGCGGCGCGGCTGGCGGTGGTCAAGTTTGTCGGCAGCATGAGCGCCTCGGCCGACGTGCTGGCGCTCTCGACGGCCGAGTTTGACTTGAGCAACATTAGCGAAGGCTCGACCGTGACGGTCAAGTGGCGCGGCAAGCCCATCTTTATCAAGCACCGGACGGCAAAGGAGATTGACATTTCGGAGCAGGTGGACGTGAGCCAGTTGCGGGACCCCGAGACGGACGCCGTGCGCGTGCAGAAGCCCGAGTGGCTCGTGGTGCTGGGCGTGTGCACGCACTTGGGCTGCGTGCCCACGTCGGACGCCGGCGAGTACGGCGGTTGGTTCTGTCCGTGCCACGGCTCGCACTATGACCTCTCGGGCCGTATTCGCAAAGGCCCAGCGCCGCTGAACTTGGAGATCCCGCCGTACCAGTTTATTGAAGACAATAAGGTGCTCTTGGGATAAGTGGCGGCTGGAAGTGGGTGCATTGACTGGCGCATTCGAGGGGCAAGACGAGGAGATGAGGAGAAGGAAGGGACGCATGGACGAGAGGCGAGCGAGGTAGAGAAGACGCGGCAGGCTCTTTTGTCGCTCGGTGTTGCGACGGCGAGCGGCAGCGAGAGGATACACGGACAGGACAGGGCAGGAGGATGATGCAAAAGAGCGATAAGACTTTGAACAAGTGGCGAGAGTTTGTTGCTCGGTAAACCGACTCTGGTGCGAGTATGTGCATGGATTGGTGCAGTTGGTGCAGGAGCAGCACGAAAGAGGTTGAGCCCACGTCTGTGTCTCTCTCTTCTGTGTGACAGCAGTCATGGTACGCTTCTTGAGCTATTTCTCTGGCCTGCCAGCGTCGATTTTGCTTACTGCCAGTCGACAAGTCTTGTGCCACGGATCCGCACATGGTGTCATGCGTAGATGCAGACGCCCGTCAACACGGATCAAACTCGAACCCGAAGAGAAAGCGACTGGTAGGGCCGTGACGGCCTTCTTCATCTTCGTCTTCTTCTCTGTGGGTTGTCGCTGGTTCTCTGCCTTCGAGATCACTTGTACAGCACAATCGGATGCCGCAACATCCATTGCGAGACCAAAGACCACCCAAAGTCTCGTAGGCACTCCTCTCTTTGCGCATCCAAAACTGTTCGCTAGAACTCGGCACCAGACCAGCACTGCAATTCAGACTGACTGTGTGTATACCCTCTCGTCAGGTTTTACGGTATCTGCCCATATTACGGACGCTCTTCATCTCTCATCTTTGTCCCATGACGACTGACTCGCAGTGGCAGCAGCAGATGCAGTGGGTGTACCTGACTGAACGTGCGGTCACATTGGTCTTCAACGGTTGTGATCGCCAATATGATGCTCTTGACGACCAGGACATCGCAAGACACGCTGTAGCATTGTGCAGGACGAAGCTGACTGAACGAAATCGTTGCCTTGCAGTTGCAGGCTCATGCAATTGGAATGGTATCCGAGTGATCTGCTTTTGCCTCGTTCGATCACTTGTGCGACTGACATGCTGCCGTCCGTAATATCGATCGCTGCGACAGCTTCACTAGTCGACAATGTCTCGATGACCTCGCGATGGTTACATGCTGTTCATGCACCGGAAGGTGTGCGCTGTTTCGAGAGTACTGGATAACAAGCACGAGCTTGGATGGGTACACCGACTCTCTCTTCACTCTCTGTGCAGGCCAACACCATTCCAGCACAGGGCAAGTCACGTTACAATATACAACGCACCATAGCTGCCAACACTAATACAATGGAAGAAAACAACTTGCGGGCATCCAGCGCCTCGACGGGCAGCGCACTTGCCGTTCACACGACTCATCCACGACGTTCGACAGCTCACACGCACGTACCACCAACTCAACACGTTCACACGCTGCACGCAATCGCACTCAGTCAGTCCGACTTGGACTGAGCAGCAACAGACTTGATCAGGTCGAGCATCATGGCCTGTTGTTGCTGGATCGTCTGGAGCAACTGCGCGTGCTGGGTCTGCTGGGCTTCCAGCTGCGCACACTGCAGCCTCTCGAGTCGCCGCACTTGCTCGTCGACGTATCGCCTCTGCTCGGCCAGTTTGCATTCCAGCTTGATCTCCAGCAGCTCGAGACGGCGGAGTCCCTCCCAGTCCCCTTCGTTCGATGCAACTAGTGCACCAGCAGAAATCGCAGCCGCAGCGTCCCTCACGTCTGCAACAACCCCACTCTCCTGCATTGCTGCACTCGACAGCATCGCCGGCGCACGTCTGCGCTGACGCACATCGTCCTGGAACTCGTAAAACGCAGCCTGGTCGGCCTGCAACTGGACCAGCAGCTCGCGCTTGTGCTCGTACTCTTGCAACGTGCCCGACTTACGCAGTGCGGCGACATTACCCGCTTGCAAATGCTCCAGCAACAGCGCCACTCGGGCTTGACAGGCCCCTGCTGTCTTGTCCAAGCTGGAGCTCCCGCGGCGCCTCAACTCGGCGCACACGTCTTGCCAGCCATCCATCAAGTGCGGGTACGCCCACGGCTTCGTCTGCTGCACTTGCGTCAGCAGTACGATGTCATCGGCCGAGACAAACTGCTTGCGAGTGGACGGAACGCGAGTGGTCTGTTCGCTCGACACTGTCCCTGCAACATGCGCTTCCTGGTCGTTTTCGGTGCCGCCACTGTTGCAGGTCTTGTCGGTATTGCAGGTCTTGTCGGTGGTGGTGGTACTACTGTACCCTTTGTCGTCGTGTCCGCGTGGCGAGGTGCCCGTACAATTGCTTTCTAACCCCATCGTCGGCGCTTGTGGCTCTCCAACTGCCTGGACCGGTACACACCGCTTCTCGCGCTGCGAGCGATGGAGACCGTGACGTTTCTTGAACCGCTGAACCCATCCGAGCGACACAGCGGCCCGCGGCCCGCGCGTGCGGCGGAGGATCTCATTGGCTTTGGTCCACAAGAGCCCTTCGCTCAGCAGCGGAGACGCCAGCCGACCGCCTTGCAGCCCTCCGTCGTGGGCGTGCGCCCCGTCTGCCGTCGAAAGGGACGCAAACAACTCGGCCTCCATCTCGGGGTACCGCCCGCTCTGGATGCGCTTTGCGCTCGGGTTCGCACAGCTTTCGTGCGGCAGTCGGGCGATTTTGCCGATCGTCGAGCGCCCGATCCATTTGCCACAGCTGCTGTGGACCCACTCGCGGAGCTGCTCTTGCGTCAACTCGGGACGCGCGCGATGGTGCGCGCGCAAGCGGTTCTTCTCGTGGATCGTCAAGTGGTGGCGCGCACGGGCCATGTCGCTCGTGCGCTCTTGGAAGCGGTGCGCCGTCACGTCGAGTTTGTATGCGAGATGCTCTTGTGCTCGTGAAGTGTGGGAGGTGCGTAGAAAGGAGTAGTCGGGTACCTGTGCCGCGACGCGGCGCGTTTTGGATTGGGTGTGGGAGAAACTGCTCTTGCAGCTGCGATCGGACATAGTGGCTGCGAACCGTCGGAAGTTGCTCGTGAAGGGGGGGGAGGGGGCTACAATGTCGTTGGTGTTCTGGACTTGAAGTACCGCGAAGTGTAGGCTCTTGTATTGTCGTTGGGGTGGCCGTACCTTGCGATTGTCATGCACGACCGATCGCACCAGTGGTGCGTACATGGCTACATTGTACGCACACGAACGATGACGTCTTTGACGGGGCCACACGAACGAGCGTCAAGAAGGGCTGACTGGACCGGCAAACGCTTGATACTGCCGCTGAGTCCTCTTTGGCTTTGACGCCAATCACTACAACTAGTCGCTAGGAGTCTGACTGACATATGCGTAGCGAACGTACTTCACTTACAGCAATGCAACTCGATCAGAAGCAGCTCAGCATCTGCTCGATCATGCTACAAAACGTCAAAACAAACGCAGGGCACTTGTTGCGGTATACCAAAACGTGGTCATTCCTTGTTAGCTTCCGATCCCGCTGCATCACTTCTGCTGTTCAGGTCACTTACTCACTTGCACTACTACCGTCCGAGATGCACCCACAGTCATCGCCACTCTTGTCACCATTGCCCATCTCTCACGCGTCTTCACACACTTCCGTCCTCTCTACTGCTACTAGAGGTCCTCCATCTCAAACACATCGCCATAGTGATACATTCCCTCGTCCGCGTCCGGATCCCTCGCATCGTCCAGCGCTTCATCGTCCTCATCGTCATGCACCAAATCTGTAGCCACAGACCTGGACAGCTGAAGCATACTATCGCTGCACGGGCTCATGCCTGCAGTCCTATCGAGCGGATACTCGTCACTGCTCGTCTGTCCTTGCAGCTCAAACGACGATCGACTGTAGTTCCAGAACTTGTCACAGCGTTGCACTTCGCACTGCGATGAGCTCATGTCTTCAAGTGGATCAGCATCAAAATAGCCATACGGCAAGTTGTCTTGAAGTGTTTGATGGTGTTGTGGAATAGGTACGGGAGGGGAGCACGGGAGACCGTCGCCACAGTGGCCACGACTGAACGACGTCGCTGGTACTTGCCGACGGTGCAGCCAATAGGGCAGTGGCGACGACGAGCACATGTGCACCTGACGGTCTTCGTCGTCGAACGGCAGTATCGCCGCCAGCGTCATCTCGACCTCCATCGGTCGTGGCAATAGCCCCATCTTCTCGAGCTCCTGCTTCTCGAGCTGTACGGCCTGTTGCAGGTCCATCTGCAAGCCGTGCGTGAGACCAGAGGCACAGCGTTGTAAATTGCGTGGCGTTGACTCGTTGGAGGCAATACTGAAGCTCTGGAGCATGGACAAGCAGCGCCTGGAAAAGTCCTTCGAGTCAATGGGACACGCAGTGGAGACCATGATCGGCCGATATATCTGTATAATTGTATGGACCACGTTGAAGTGCTGACACGTGACGAAAAAAGGGTCGATACGATCCGTTCGACAGGCGAATTACGCGACTCCACACGATATGTTGCAAGTGACGCGTAGCGCAACGTGAACTTGGGACTGCTGATTGGTATCTGAGCCCAAAGTCACGTTCGATCGCCCGCTTGTTCTTTTTTTCTTCTCTTTTGGCCTTTCGGGACTTGGCGAATCTTTGGCGAAATGGCCGAAGCATAGTGAAAGTCAGTGTGTCGACGATCGGTTTTCACTGTCGCGCAGCGTCGTGAAACCACTGGCGGATGACTTCGAGAACTTTCAGCTTCCCAGACGGACAGTTGGCGTCGAGGATGGTGGACGCCGCCGGTGAAAGATCGTTGAAGACGCGCACATTGGCAGTGCTCATCGAGTCTTGGAAATAGATATGACTCGGAGGTCAATGCTGCTATTCTACTGCTAAAAACTACTACGACTCGTACTACGTCTTCCTTGCAAATGTGCGAATATTCTCCCTACGATGTCAAACATTTGGGTTTACGTGACTTTTCGTGCATTCTGATTGGTCCGTCGGGGCTCACCGCCCGCACAATGTCACCACATCCTAGAACAAAAGGCACTGCACTTCAACTTGACCATCATCGACACGGGGACGCACACTCGCGACAGGTACCCACCCTCCGCACCTTTCGACTCACGCCAGCTGAAGCTATAGATGTCTCCTGCCTTTTTCGACTACAGAGCCGTCACGTTCGCACTCTAATGTCGTTGACATATATCTATTCCGCTCACGTTACGACAGTCTGACGGCACGAGACGTTGACGTCTGTGGATTGGCTTCCGCGTGGCAAAGCTGCATACGAACATCCCAAAGCGACCAGAAAGCAGCAGCGCATCGTCGATCTCGTCTTCTTCGCACACGCGCTGCGGCTTTACCTCTTGGACTGAAAAGCACCAAAACGTTCGTCAATGCTGACGCGTCTCGACGACAGCAGCGAAACGGCCGAGCGCACTCGCGGTATGCGCTCTGTCTGAGCTTTTTGTCCTGATTTCTGCCGTCGCGGGCGAGTGATCGTAACTGCTGATGGAGCGTGGCACGCACGCACATACGTACGCACGTGGGTGGCGGGCAAGTCTGAGCTTGGATACGCTCGTGTGCGTCGTACCAGTCAGCCAATATCCTCCAATACGGTACAGCTTCCTCCCCCCACCCGCTCTCGTTCGTAAACGTACCCTCGACACGGTACCTGATTCGGACGTCTCCAGCGCAGTCGCATCGTTTTCATGTCGTGCGTGCGTGTTGCAACGGCTTTGGCGGTTTCCAGCTCTCCTTTCGCTCCTGCGTCCGAAACCTACGGACGAAACTTCCCCTCTCGTTCGTATCTCCCATGCGCACATCGGGCGACAGTCAGCTCGAGTCACCGCAACGAGACACTGCTCGACTCCACTCCACTGGCCACACGCACTTGGGCCTGTCGACAGCCAGTCAGTTAATCAATCAATCAATCAATTGGTCGCTCGCGTTGGACCGCAAACGTTATTCGTGCAGCTGTGCATCGTCTGCTTGGGCACGTTCGTTGCGATAGCTGCGTCTCGTCCCACGTCCCACGGGCCAGTGCCTTGTCTTGCTGCTGGTGCAATGTGGACACGACGGACCTGTTCGCAGACTGAACCCACATCGATGCGGAGCTGTTTACGCATTGTTTACAGAAGCCAACGTGGTCCTTGAAGTAGCACGAGCAAAAGCAGTCGCGCCGTGTCCAGTCATACCATGCCACGGCCACCTCATCTGCTCGCCGCCTCCACTCGATCCCAATGCTCCGTCCCACACTTGACGTCGATGAACGTTCCAACCGCAAACGGGTCAGGAAAGCGAATGCGACTTGCGTGCAGGTACAGCCGATCGGCTGGACGGCCGCCGTATTTCGTGTCCCCGACAATGGGCGCGTCCAAGGCCTGTGCACAGTGCACACGGAGCTGGTGCTTGCGTCCCGTGCGAGGTCGGAGCTGCAGCCAGACAACTCCACCTGTACGCTCCGTGCAGTCATCGTCGTTGCAGTGCTGCCGCACGCGCTCGACGCGTGTACGCGCTGCTTTGCCGTCCACAGGCACGTCCACCTCTCGCCCTGCCCACGTTTGCCACCTCGCGCAGCTCAGACCGCTTGTCGAACGTGGGGCTGCCACGAGCGCCTCGTACGTCTTGTGCACGACACCGCTGCGGAGCAACGCCGCGAATTTGGCGGCTGCAAGACGGGAACGCGCGAGCACCAACACACCTGACGTTGCTTTGTCCAGGCGATGCACCAATCGCAGCGTCTGTATCTGCTGCTCGTCCTCTTCGTCGTCAACAGGGTCGTCATTGCGCTCGTGCTGGCAGCGGTCACTACTGCGCATGGACGTGGCCAGAAAAGGTAAGTACCGGTCGAGCGACTCGGTCAGTTTCGAGCCTCCCTGCAGCATTCAACAACAAGTACACATGGGGCCACACAAAGAAGTCACGTCCCCGCCCCCTCTATCGCGCTATCTGCATCTCTCTATCCCGATAACCTTATTCCACCTGCACGGCCAGTCCCTGAGGTTTATTGAGCACCACAAAGTGCGCGTCCTGATACACGACGCACTGGCGCAGGCGCTCTGCTCGCTTCTGGTCTCGACGTTTCTCGACCGTCTCGTGCCGTCGCGTCTCTTCCTCGCGACGCTCTGTCCGTGCGCGAGTCGGTGTCGACTGGAACTTTGACTCGAAGAGACGCGCGTCAATCGCGACGACGGAGCCCTCGCGCAGCACCGAATGGGCGCGAGTCGCTTTGACAGGCGACGCGACGTCGACGGACTGCAGACGGATCTTGCGCTTGCGCAGCTGAGACTGCAGGAAACTCTGCGGCAGCGACGGGAACTGCAGTCGGAGCCAGCGATCGAGACGCAGCTCGTGGTCCGGTGCGCGCACGACGTGGCGCATCCAGCGGAGCTCCTGTCGCCACATGCGGTCAGTGCGTCTGGAGATGGCAATTGATAGGGATAGATAGATAGATAGATAGATGAACAAGGATGAATAGGAATGATGAACGAAGATAGACGCCATCTATTGATGCAACGATAAGGACGCAAATAGATGGGCGGATAGATAGTCAGATTGAGGGCAATTCGAACGAGAGTATGTCGCTCAATCGATCTAAGTTTCTGCCTCTCGACCCGCACAGCTTTCTATCCGCGTCGCTATTTTACTGTCTGCCATTCAAAGGACCAGCGAAACTCTATTCGCTCTTACAGTCCGTCGCGGTCTCTCTACGTCGCGGCCGCCTGGAGCTTCGCCTGGTGGTCCGAGCGGCCGCGCTTGACGCACGCCTGGAAGCGGCGCTTGAGCAGCTTATCGTCCGGCGCGAGCTGCATGGCGGCCCACATGGCGCACGCCGCCTCTTCGAAGAGCCCGAGCGCCTCGAGGCACTGCCCCTCGCGGAAGAGCGCCTTGGGCCACTCGGGCCGCAGCTTCTTCGCCACGCGCACGTCGTGCAGCGCCAGTGCCGCGTCGCCGGCCCCCAAATGCGCCGCACACCGATTGCTATAGAGCGCTGCGTTAGTGGGCACGAGCGCGAGCGCCTGCGAGTACAACGCGACCGCCGCCGCGTACTCTTTTGCCAGGTACGCCTTGTTCCCGTCGTCCTTGAGCCGCGTGGCTTGTGCCCGTGTCCCTTCGTCCACTTCCTTTGCTTCGGGCACTGCAATGTCCTCTTCCTTTCCAATCGCTGCCAACTTCTTCTGCGTCTCGGCTGCCAGCTTCTCCTCTGCTGTCACGGGCGCTGGCGCGTCAGCTTCAGTAGCTGCAGCAGGAGGGTCGGTCTTGGCCGCCTGCTCGTAGAACGCATCGAGCTTGGCCTTCTCTTCGACCATCACCTTGTCCAGGTCGGCTTCTTGGAACCCCTCGGTGATCGCCTGGAGCAGCGTCACAATGTCAACGTGCCCCATGCCAGCAGCAAGTTGTAGCGGCTTGGCGCCAGCCTCCGACGTCCGGTTTGCAGCTTCTCTGGTGTCGTCGGGCCGACAGGTTAGGAACGCCTGCACGACGGCCGCAAAGCCCGTCTCGGCAGCCATGTGCAGCGCAGTGAGCCCGCCGTCCATTGTCAGCGACAGCGTTGCGCCGCCTTCCAGCAGCTCTTGGACCACAGCAGGTTTGTTCAGCAGACACGCGAGCATCAACGGCGTCACGCCGCCCGCATTGGTCACGTCAGCGTTGGCCCCGAGCCGCAGCAGCTCCGCCACTGTCTTCTCGCGGCTTTCGCTCACGGCAAAGTGCAGCGCCGTGCCGTTCTTGGTCGTGGCCTCGAGCTGCGCCTTGTGCTCCACGAGCAGTTTCACAGTCCGGATACTGCCGTTCGCTGCTGCTTCGTGCAGTGCCGTTGTGCCGTTCGTCATGGCCACGTTCGGGTCGGCCGCGTACGCGAGCAGCAGCTTCACCGCCGCGAACTCGTTCTCTTTGGCGGCATACAGCAGCGGCGTCGCGCCTTCTTCGTCCACGCACTCGATGCACTCGGGCGCTCGGTCCACAATGTAGCGGACCACTTTGCAACGGCCTTTGGCAGCCGCAAAGTGCAGCGCCGTGCGCTTGTGCGCGTCTTTAAAGTCCACGAGCGCTTCTTTCACGTCCGCGACGCCCATCACCTGCAGCGACGCGAGTGTCTTCTCGAGCGTCTGGAGGTCGCCATCTATTGCATTGAGTGATTGTTGTTGTTAGGCCACACAGTCACATGAGTCTATGACCCCTACCAACAACAACGGCACAAACTGCCAAAGAGAGAGAGAGAGAGAGAGAGAGAAGAAAGAGAGCGAAACCACACGGACGGCCACTCGCACGCACTTTCCGCACTGGTGAGCAGGTCACTCACGATCTTCTTCTGCTGCTGGTACTCGGACGCGCCCTTTTCCTTTGCGTCGGTGAGCGCTGTCGCCGCACCGGCCGCCGCCATCTGCCGCTCCACTTCACGTCGGGGCAGTCGCGTGCGTCGCTGCCAGTCAACGCGATGGACAGTGTCGAGCGGCAGGCGAGCGCTTTGATTCGTAGATATTGAGCGACGCAAGCAGCCAATCATCGCTCGCGAACGGACTACTTCAACTTGACCAGGTCTGATCGCGTTGCTCTAACGGTCGCGTGGATAGCTCCCATTGTCTCGTCCAGTCAGTTATAGTATGAGAAGCAGTCGACTCGCCCGTGCTTTTCCTCGCGGCTCGCGCTACGTCGTCAGTTGTCGGTTTGCAGACTCGAGAGGAAGCGGCAGACGCGCGACTATGTCCACAGTGGAAGGGGAACCGCGGGCAGTGCTGATCCCGATCGTGCGTTCTTGTGGGTCCTCGCGGGTTGCCATTGACTGCCACTTCACGAGCGACCTGACAGTTAATTGATCATCCATGTTTGCCGCTGTGATTGCAGGCCGATGGGACCGAAGAGATTGAGGCCATTGCAGTGGCGGACGTGCTGACCCGCGGGGGAATGAAAGTGACGTTGGCCGCTGTTGGCCGCAAGCTGCAGAACATTGTGACCATGTCGCAAGGCACGAAAGTGCAGGGCGACATGGCGATTGAAGCATGCGTTGACCTCAGCTTTGACCTCATCGTGTGCCCTGGAGTACGTGCACTCGCGTTGTATGCTGTGCTGTCGTCCAGTGGACGTACGCGTGCAAGTACAGGGAACGAAGTACCCACCGGCTGACGCTTGTGTGCTTGGCTGACGCTTGTGTACCCACGTGTTGTTGCTAGGGCCCTGGCGCCCAGCACCTTCACGATTCGGCCGAGCTGATAACGATGCTGCAGAAGCAGAAGCGCCACGGCCGATTCTACGGTGGCATTTGTGCGGCGCCAGCTGTTGTGCTGCTCCCGCATGGTCTGCTCGATTCGGGTCCGGCGACAACGTACCCGAGCTACAGTTCCAAGATGACGGGGGTGGACTACCGCCCCAACGAGCGCGTTGTAGTGAATGGCACGTGCGTGACGAGCCAGGGCCCCGGGACGGCCATTGAGATGGGGCTCAAGCTCGTGGAACTGCTTTGTAGCGCGGACAAGGCCAAGAGCGTGGCTTCGGCTTTGCTCGCGTGACGCAATTGACAGATTGATTGACCAGTGTGTGACCTGAGCAAAGCTCAATGCCAACTCAGTAGTCGTCTGCCTGGATCCCGCAATGCTTCAGCCGTAATGATGAACGCTCTTGATCTCTTATCTATCTATCTATCTATCTATCCCATCTCTCTCTCTTTCTATGGCCATCAATCGCCATCTCGGCACAACGGACTCTCCAGACGCACTGACCGCATGTGGCGACAGGAGCTCCGCTGGATGCGCCACGTCGTGCGCGCACCGGACCACGAGCTGCGTCTCGATCGCTGGCTCCGTCTGCAGATCCCGTCGCTGCCGCAGAGTTTCCTACAGTATCAGCTGCGCAAGCACAGGATCCGTCTGCAGTCCGCCGCCGACACGCCGCCTGTCAAAGCGACTCAGCCACTTTGGTACTCACTGCGAACGGGTTCCGTCGTCGCTATCAACGCGCGTCTCTTCCAGTCAAAGTTCCAGTCGACAACAAGAGAGACGGACACAGATCCAGGTACAGAGAGAGAGAGAAAAGGTAGCGACGCGACCTGTTGTGTGTCCAGGTATACGTGTGGACCGATGCTGCACGAGGGCTCGACGTCGACAGCGTCGCTCGACCGGTACTTGCCACACTCAATGCGCAGTGCCCTGTGCCAGCACGAGCATAACAACGACGAAAGCACGACGACGACGTCGCACGGGTTGCAGGCGCCGCCCATTGTCGGGGACACGAACAACTACTACCACTACGACAGACAGACAGACAGACAGACAGACAGACAGACAGTCGTCCGTCTGTTTGTCTGTCCAGTCGACCGACTGCCATCTGCCCACTCGGAACGTCTGCGCTCGTTTCGCTGACCCGTTCGTTATGGGCCTTCGATCGGCTCCGTGGCGATCGTTCTCGAGATCGATCCGCGAACGTGCTGCAAACGCGCTGCAAACGTTCCGAGACCGTTCGCGTCGCCCTCTTTCTGCGGCGCGGTGCAACACTTGGGCAAGAGCCAATTACGAGCGTCACACGCGCCAGCAGCTACCAGTCGCCAGGCCACCATCCGGCACGAAGGCCCACCCTTTCGAGGAATGGCCGGCGCGTGTTTACAGCCTACGAGGATGTCGCGCTTTGATACCGCTACCGCGTCGCGGTGTGGTCGTTGGGTGGGGGGTATCTTCTTATTCGTTGCGGGTATTTGGGCGAGCGCGAAAGCCATTCGGAGACGGCTGTTTCAGTGCAGTGCGCTCGTGCGGTCGTCCGTCATCTCTGGATGAACTTTTCGCGAATGTGCCATGTCAGGGCGTGCACGGGCGACCGCAGTATGGGTCGGTCGGGATGGATACCTTCTCTCCCCCTCTTCCCCTCTTTCGCGTACGCACGTGGAAAGGAACGACCGCCGCAAAGCCTTTCTCCCGTTTATTGTTCGACTCATGAGCGCTCAGAAGGGGGGGGGGAGGAGAGAGAGAGGGAGGGAGGGAAGAGCGGGCTGCCGACCGGCCACTGGATGCGAGCGGAAGCGCCACGTGCGACTCGTGCGCGTCAGTGCCTTCTGCCACCGCAGTCTCGAGCTTCGCACTTTGCAATCTGCCACGACGGACGTGACGCGTTTTACGCCGCGATGAACCACTTCAACAGGTCGGCGCCAGACGCCGAAGAGCAGCACAATATGGCCACGTCCTCATCTCTCCTCTTGTCGTCACCGATCGCTTCGACGAGAGGCGACGACCGGAGCCAAGCGGCCGTCACTACGTTCGCGGCGGACGACGTCAGCAAGTTCACGGGTCAGCCGTTCAGCAGTAGTAGCAGTCGCAATCTCAAGGCCGTCGTCGACAACGAGGCGTTCGCCAGGCCACAGTTCAGTGACGCAGACCTTGCGACCGTCTGTCTGCCCATTGTGTGCAACCCCACGAGCTCCTCGAGCGCCACGCCGAGTCCAACGTGCGTGTCAGCGGTCTTTGCCCGGGACGACGCGGGACCGAGTGGTGAGCCGTCGTGGACACTGCAAGAGCTCCAGGACTACTTGGGTATGCTCGAGCTGCTGCAAGGCGTGTGCAGCGACGCCGAAGACGCCGAAGGGGACATGTGGCTCTCGGCCGACTGTCTCGGCCAAATGGAGCGCCTGCTGACTTCGCTCTTGCCGCAAGGCGTGTGAGCGCGCGGGGAGATAGGTACGAACACATATCTACGCACGCGTACGTACGCACGTGACACGTCGCGCTTCGTAGCAGTAGACATATACTTTCTGTACAAGTTATTCATCGAAATAGACGCAGCTGCGCAAGTGGGCACAGTGTGTCTCCACCTCGTGCTTCCTGCTCCTTCATCAGGCAGACAGCAGTCAGCTCACATACACTGCAGGGCCTCGACGCTCAGCCGCCTGCGTCGCGTCTCGTCGACAAGCGCTGGTACGGCCCTCTACAGACTGCCGACGCAGTAAGGTGGCCGTCTTCCCGCGTGGTCACAGCAGCATGTCGGATTGAAGACGACGGGTCCTGCTCGTCCCCACGCACTTGGACGCTGCGTCGCTTTGCCATCAGCGACGACACCTCATTGTCCAGCTCGCTCACGGGCGTCGGAGGCCACGCAACTTGTGGACCGCGCGTTGCTTGCAACGGCGATTGCGGCACGAACGGACGGGGTACGACCAAATCCGTCTCCCAGTTCGGCGGCGAAGGCCGTTCCGCAGTCGTCAGCGCGCAGATCGCATCGCCACAGGCCGCTGTCGCACGCAGGAGCTCCACTTCCATCGCCGACGTCAGTCGATCCACGGGATCGAACGTGAACAAGAGCTTAAACTCAATGTCGAGCGCTAGCGGAGCCGACGTCTGCACGCTCGCGTCACTCGCATTCGTCTCAACCCAAAACGTGTACACGTGGTCTCCCGGCAACAGCGTGTGCGGCTGCAGCTGGCCACGCGCTTCTTTCGAGTACGAGCGCGCGTGGCTGTCGTAGAGCACCGCCTCCGACACACCCACGGCCTGCAGTCCACTACCGTCGGCCACGCGGACCAGGAGCTTCCCGCGTCCCCTGACGCGCTCGACGACCAAGTGCTCAAACTTGCGCACCGTAAACACCAGCGGCGGACCACCAGCTGTCAACTCGCGTCGCTCGCGCCGGAAAAACCGCAGCGGTCCCTGCTCGATCGTCGTCGGCAGTCCCACATCTTCCGGTTGCTCGTCTTCGGTCGAGTTCCCGTCGGTAGCTGCCGTCATTGTTAAAGTGGGTGTACCTGTTATTGCAGTTGCAGTTGTCGTGTTCTTTTTCTGCGACGAGTCGGTCGACGGCATGTTGGCAAACATACTGACTCGCTGAGGAGTACTAAGGCCGAGATCCACGTCGTTCACGGACCGTCGCCGGGCCGGTAGACCCGATACGGAGGCGGCTTTTGGGGTCGCCCACGACTGCGACGGGTCGCCCGTCACTGTCGTGGGGAACAGTTCGTCGTACAAGTCAAAGTACATGGCGTCGTCTTTGAACGCGTCTTCGTCGACGTTGCGCTGGCGCACGAGTTTGCCCGTGCGGTACCAGTCGAGAATCATTTCAAAGTGCTGCGGGTTGCGGTCGATCGAGAACGCGTCGTTGAGGCAGCCGACTTTGCCGCAGGGGCACGTGATGATCTGGTGGAGCCGCTTGAGCGGATACTGAGCGATCAGACTCTCTTTGCAGCGAAAGAGTTTGCCGCTCACGTCGAACGCGACGATGCGCGTCGGCCGTAGCGCCGCATCGCAGCGGTCCGCGCCCCACTTTGCGTGCCACGGGACGCGCGTGCGACCGACAGTGTGGTCGGGATCGAGACTCTGGCGATAGCCGTTAAAGTACGCGCCCTGACTCGTTGCTCGCGAGAGCAGAGGGACACGGGCGGCCCCGAGCGACGATACCGATGGGAGTGTCGCAGTTGTTGTAGCTGCTGAGGCTGTTGTGGCTGTAGTTGTTGTGGCTGTGGCTGCAGTTGTTGCACGGCTGCGGTCGGTCTGTTTCGCTCGTTTCGTGGCCGTGACGTGTGGCTCAGTGTTCCGTAAGCTCCGACTGCGCTCGGCAAAGTGGTCGCTCCAGTCAATCGAAATGGTCACATTGTCGTCGATTTTGTCGCTGCAGACGACGAAGAGCTCACTCAGGAGGTCGACTTTCTTCGGGTCGGTCGCCTCGCGTTCCGGGCCGTCCTCGTCTTTCGGTCGCACCATCGATCGCTCTATGTCTCTATCGCTCTCTCTTGTACCCTTCAGGATAAGAAATGAAGAGAGCGAGAGAGAGAGAGGAGACACATTATCGTCGCATCCCCATCGCTTGTGACTATTCTTCCAATATATGCTATGGACACGCGAAAGGTCGTAACCCGTCTTTGGCGGGTGCAGCCAGCCCCCCCTCGTCCGGCCACTTACTTACTTGTCCGACGCAAACGTCCGATGGGCAGCAACAGTAGCATAGCATAGCAGTAGTAGCATAGCAACAGTCCCTACTTGGCAGTCCATGCCCCAAAGGCATCACGAGGGCCACAGTTACGAATCGATCTACGACAAGAGCGTTTCTTTCTTCTCTTCTCTTCTTTTCGTCTTCTCTTCCACCTCTTTCCATGTTCGCGAGAGCGCACACGCGTACGTGCATTCTCACGCACGAGCGCTAACGACGAGGCAGCAACAAATGTCACGCCGTCCGTTTCACAGCAAACCATCGGCTCAGTTCCGTGCGCCCGGTTGCGTGTATTGTAGCTCTTTGGCGAACAATGACGGCCAGGGCCGTCGGAGCAACTCAGTTGACACGTATCAGGAACAAACAAATCAACGCAATTGGCAACTGGCTATGGATCTTGAGGCAGCTGGGAATGGTCACGATTCTGAGAGAGAGCGCGGGCGCACACGCGGGTGTGTCTGTGGTGTTGACATGTTCCATTCCGAGAGCGTAACAAGATACTGCAACTCGCTCATCACAAGTCCCGGACCACTACTCCCTGTCCGGTCCCCCCACACGCAGCCGCCGCACCGCCGCGCAACAAACGTAATGAGCCGACCGCTGTTCTACAGCTCACACAGACCCTACAATTGTTCCCAGCGATGCCATTCGAGGTGGTCGCGCGTCGGACGGGCACTGGAACGCCCATCACGACGAGGTGATGGACTCGCTGCAGTGCCGTAATCAGAGCCGTCTGTCAGTTTTTCTGATCTGCCCCATTGAGGTCCACGCAGCGGCCACGCCGCCCCGTTTCGGTCGATACGAGCAGAAAGAAAAGACGGGCGCCAACTAACGTTCGCCGCGCTTCGGTCCACTCGTTTGTGTCCCGGGGATCTTGACGCGCGTCCGTTTTCTAGCCGCGCCATTGTCGTCTGTTCTTCTTCGTGCAACATTCCACACCTCTCCTCTCCCCCAGTCACTTCCGATCCGACGCAATTGTGCCGTCCTCTCGTCGCTATTGCAAACATGCCGCCCCGCGCTGCCCTAATCCGCTCGGCGCTGTGTCTCACGACCGGTAGGTCCGTTTCTAACCATCGAAATAACGCCACAACGGCCCGTCGCCAGCATCAACTCACCCCTATTTCCCCCTATCTGGTCTCTATTTCGGCCGTATCCAGCTAAACCGCGTCCGACGCCCACGCTCTTCTGCTTCCCCGGCCTTTCCTCGACGCCATGGCACGACACGCAGTCGTTTGACTGGATCCCGCGCCTCGAAGCCAACCGCGACGTCATCACAAACGAGTTCCTCGCTCTTCAAGCGCAGCGCCACCGCTCCGCCCAAACGAGCGACTACAACGCGTCCAGCAACGAGCACCGGCTGCATGCGGGTCAATGGGACTGGCTCTCGTACGTGGCGCAAGGCCGGCGGCAAGCGGACTTTGCCGAGCAGTGCCCCGCGACCGTGCGCGTGTTAGAGAGCATTCCGGGCTTTATGGCGACTGTCCCGTTTGCCTATGCGTTTTTCTCTATTTTAAAGCCTGGGGTAAGGGGTCCGGCGGTCGACTCGATCGCGCGTCGCTTGTTTTGTGCACGAGTAGCTACTTATACGAGGCAAATGATGTGTGTATGTGTGTGGGCGCGTGGACTGTACACTTAGTCGAGTATCAAGGCCCACTCGGCGCCGTGCAACATTCGACTGCGGTGCCACTTCCCGCTGATTGTACCAGACGGCTGTGGCATTCGAGTGGGCGACGAGACGCGGCAGTGGGAGGCAGGAAAAGCGCTCGTGTTCGACGGTTTGTTGTGCTATTCAGTTTGATATGGTTGGGCTGGGGACCCTGTGACATGATAGTGAGTGACGTGGATTGTGCTGTGTTGTGGTATTGTTGTTGCTGTTGTTGCTGTTGTTGTTGTTGCTGTTGCTGTTGTTGTTGTTGCTGTTGCTGTTGTTGTTGTTGCAATAGACGCGTATGACCACGAAGTGTGGCATCGTGGAAGTGACGGCGACCGCGTGGTGCTGCTGTTCGACGTTTGGCATCCAGAGCTGGTGCAAGGCGAGCGTGAGGCTGTTGTCAGGATGTTTGAGGACGCAAAGGAGAAGGGCTGGCTCAAGGAGTTCGAGTCGTAGCTCGATGCTGCTGTGAAGCAATACGCTGTACTCTGTTGTGGTACGTACGCAGCACTGGTGTTGCGGAGGAAAAGCGTGAAAGTATGTGCTTAGTGTATTTGTATTGTATTTACGCGCCCAGGCAGAGCGGTGTGGTAAGCTGTGCAGCTTAGGAACGATTCTGGTCCTCTCGCGCTGTCTCGTTGTCGTCGGCCCCTTCTTGGTCGGCAGCCATTGTGTTGAAAATGTATTCCAGCGACGTTGCGCTCACGCCGTACTCGCTCACGTGCAGCACGTCTTTGTTTTCTTCGAGGAGGCCAAAGATCGCGTGCGGTCGCAACGACTGCTTTGGCACTTGGAAACGAAAGTGGCCGCCCTGGTGTTCGATACGCTGACAGCCTGGAAACTTGTCGTGGAAGAACTGTTGCAGCGTCGAGTCCATGTTCTCGGTGGCCCACCATGCGCAAAAGGTGTCAATGGGGACGAGGCCCGACGTCTCGAGGTAGCTGTTGAGGACGCTGCCATTGTTCTCGCCTTCCAGGATGTCTTGCGCCCGCTCTGGAAACCCGAGTGACGAACATAGGCTGACAACATGGTGTCGTGAGATACCAGGGCTGTTGCCTCCGAGGAGTCGATGCACATCTTGCTGCAATGATGCCAGAACAGAGGCATGTGGCTGCTGCAGCTTTACCTCCACGATGTACCCTCGGCCAAACTTCTGCTTCAGGTGCTCGACGCTTCCTAAGCATTTCAGCTTTCCATTCACCAAGATCCCCACTCGCGTGCAAAGTGCTTCGCATTCTTCCATGCTATGGGTAGTAAGAATGACAGAGGACTTCTTTGCTGCGCAGACATTGGCAATGACGTCCCACATTTTCCGTCGAGAGCTTGGGTCTACTCCCGTCGAAGGCTCGTCAAGAAGGATGACGCTTGGACTGCCAATCATGGCGATGGCGGTGGACACTTTGCGCTTGTTGCCTCCACTGAGCCCTCGCGTCAGCTTGGTCCGGTACTCAGTGAGTCCCATGTTCTCAATAGCTTGATCAACCGCATCGTCCACCCCGTGACTCGGGATCCCCTTGAGTCGAGCATACAGCTCAAGCTGCTCTTCCACGGTCAGCAAGTCATGCAACGGGTCGAACTGGGGACAGTATCCAATCGCACTTCGTGCTTTGTTGCGCTCGCGAGCCAAATCGTATCCACTCAGCGTAACGAATCCGTTCGTTGGAGCCATCTCACCCGTCAGCACTTTCATCGTCGTCGACTTACCAGCTCCGTTGATGCCGAGATACCCAAAGCACTCTCCCTTTGTCACGGAGAGACACAAGTCGTCTAGCGCGAGCTTGCCTTTGCGTCCATACTCATGACGCAAGTTACGGATAAAGACGCTGTCGTTCTGCGTGGGCTGCGACTGCTCGAGTTTTTGGCGCTCAGCAGCCACGTCGTCGTCCTCATTGCGAAGCCGGTCTTGCCGCTGTTCAGGTCGCCACGACGAGCTGCCGTTTTCGATAACTAACACCAGCACCATGAAGATCACAAACTCGGCCAAAGCATAGGCGATGGGGGCCCCAGCGACGTCCAGATCGAAGACGCCGCGCTCGCAACAGGGCGTATCGGCAGGTGCATCCCAGCACGAGATGCACGTATAGTCCGTGCCGAGACCTTCCCAGAGACCGAAAAAGGAAGGTGGGGCCACGACCTCGGTGACGTCACCGCGCAGCGTACGTCGACTCAGCTGTCGTGTACTAAGCTCGTAGATACCGCTGTTCAGGCCGTAGCCTGGAAAAAGCAGGAAAATCCATCGCAGGTAGTTCCTGTCAAGTGATGAGAGGGTCAAGTTGAACGAGTCGCCCGAGGCCAAGTTGACGTCGATGAGTCGGCACAAGAACGAGAAAATGCTTAGCAAGCCACCCGTGCAGAGAGCAAAGACCAGCAGCGACGTCTGTGCCACAGCATGCCTCTCGAACTTGAACGAAAACAGGTATGCCATCGGGACCACGGCGAGAGCGTGCGACCCGATTAGACAAAAGACTCCCCATACCTCTGTGGTGCCTGCCAACGTTTGGTCAGACAGAGGAATCATCACGGCGGAGGCAATGACGGTCACCACCATGATAAGAAAATCATGCGTCCACGTGGACAACCAATATGCTGACCCGCTGGCACCCGAAATCAGCTGCAGACTTTTCGCGTTTTGGTTCGGACTTTTCTCGCGCACGATAAAGGCGACAATCGCAGCAGGAACAAAGGCAAAAGCCAACATTGCCACGATAGCAGTCAAAAAGGCGGTCAAAGTAACCTGAAGCCTTGCAGCGTCATCGTCGAGGCAGTGCTTGTTGAAGCACGGGGTCACTGCATTGGACGATGAAGTGCCCTCACACGTGTTGCACGCATAGTACGGAGACTGGACATTTCTCGGATCGCAGCATGCCGAGATACTGCAATCGATCACGCCCAGGTTGCAGTAGGTAAACGAAAAGCTGTCACAACTGCTTGCAGCAGGCACTAGCGAAAACCTCTCGCTTGTGCACTGTGCTTGTTGCGCCGGCGATGCAAGCGTTTCCGCGTAGCCAGAAGATGGCAGGAAGCTAGCCACATCGATTTCCGGGAGCAACACTAAGATGATCAGGAAAAGCAGCGGGATGCATACAGCATTCAGGAGGTTTTTCTTGTCTCGCTTTGCAATAC